TAAGGCATTTGCTAGAAGATAAAGCATATATATATATATATATATATATATATATTTGAAGATAGCATATTTAACTTGACTCTCTTCCCCACTCCTCCCCCAAATCTAAAATTGGCCATTTCCAGTACAAGATCCCAAGTGGAAGGCAAAGCATATAGTAATTTCATTAACCCTAGGTAGCAAAAAGGATTACTACATTAAAGATGAGTTTTATATATGATCTGTGGTTTCCTTAATTAATATAATTCAAAAATATATTGGTAGTATATCATAGTTGAAAATCAAAGCAATATAAAACAATATTCATTAAGCAGTCACTCTTGTCTCCATGAATTTTATATCCCTTTTGCCTTGCAGAGTTCATTTATTCGTTCAACAAATATTTATTGAGGTGCTCAGTATGTGCCAGACACTGTTCTAAGTACTAAGGGGACAGCAGTGAATCAAACAGCATGTTAATTGGGCCCTTGTGGTACTTACTTCTGGTGGGAGAGGCAGTCAAGCAGAATAAATAAGTTATGTAGCTTATTAGAAGGAGATAAATACAATGGAGAAAAATAAAGCAGGGGATAGGGAATAAAGGGAGGGAAGGTCTGCAGTTTTAAAAGGATGGTCAGTACCTCATTCAAGCAAAGGCTTGAAGGAGTCACAGGAGCAAGCCACATGGATGCCTGGGGGAAGAGTGCTCCAGGCGAGGGACCAGCCTGTGCAAAGGCCCCGAGCAGGTGTGTGGGGGGCGTTTAAGGAACAGCAAGGAGGCTCCTGTGGCTGCCTCAGAATGAGCGAGGGGAAAACTTACACGGGATGAGCTCAGTGAGGTAAAGGCAGTGGAGCTTCAGAATGAGTTGAGCTTTTATATGATTTAAAATACATTTAAGAATATTAAGAAATAGAAACTTAATTTGTTTCAAGATGAATTTAAGGTTAAGAATGCTTTGGGGTGCCTGGGTGGCTCAGTTGTTAAGCATCTGCCTTCAGCTCGGGTCATGATCCCGGGGTCCTGGGTTCAAGCCCCGCATTGGGCTCCCTCCTCAGTGGGGAGCCTTCTTCTTCCTCTCCCACTCTCCCTGCTTGTGTTCCCTCTCTCGCTGTGTCTCTCTCTGTCAAATAAATAAATAAAATCTTTAAAAAAAAAAGGTTAAGAATGCTTTAATCTTTATATTTTTATGAAACATGAATTGAGATTGATAAATATAATTACCATATTTATATTTCACATGTGAAAAGGTTCACTTTGTTCTTGTAAAATGTGATTCAAGAATGTTAATTTTAAATCAAGTTTAATTGTCTTTCCTTTTTTCTCCCTGTAGAGCTGCTCAGATTCTTGAGGGGTATCCAGTTCTTTATTATACAAGGTTTGTCCTTTTGATTAGGGATATTAAAGCATCCTGGTTGGTTTGAGGACAGTTCTTAAAATAGTGAGAGTTGAACTGAATTGACATTTCTCTTTCAGATTTAGAGACTTGTTCAAAGCCAAACTGGGGTTACTTGGAGAGAGGAAGGGTGATGATGATTTAATTGCATTTCTCTTACATGTGAGTTTGTCATTTTATCTTTTTTTTTTCTGACTAACTTTTGAATTACTAATCAGCATATTCTTGAAGACTTGAGATTGATAAACATAATTATTCTCATTAGCTCATGGAAAAGGCAGAAGCTGATTTTACAATGACATTTCGGCAGCTCAGCGAGATTACCCAAAGCCAGTTAGAGGAGCTCAACATTCCCCAGGTAGTCATTTTGACATTTGGTTTTCTCTTAATTAAGTTTTCTTTATCAGATGTATTGAGGTATTATTTACATGTCATAAAATTCCACTGACCTTATGTATATAATTCAGTGATTTTTTTTATAATTTACAGATTTATGCATTTATCACCACAATTTGATTCTAGAACAGTTCCATCACCCTAAAATAAAGATCCTTTGTGCCCATTTGCAGTTAATCCCTGTTTCCACTCCTAGCCCCAAGCAGCTACTAATTTACCTTGTGTCTCAAGGTTTTCGCTTTCTAGACATTTCTTATAAATGGAATCATACAAAATGTGGTCTTTTGCACTTGGCTTCTTCATTAGCCAAGTTTTGAGGTTCATCCATATTGTTACCTGTATCAGCAGTTCTTTCCTTTTTGTCACTGAGTGGTACTCTACGGTATGGATATACCATCTTTTGCTGATCCATTTACCAGTTGATGGACATTTGGGTCATTGCCACTTCTTGGTTATTGTGAATAAATACTGCTCTGAACACTCATTTACAAGTTTTTGTGTGAACATATGTTTTCATTTCTCTTGGACAGATACTAGGAGTGGAATCATGTCTTATTAATTTTTAAATCCTTCCCACCTAACAATTCCCAGAGCAGCATTGACATTCCATAAATATTTGTTGAATGAATTAATAGATGACTAAATAAAATGCAGTTGCAAATTAAGTTTTTAAAAGTAAATTATACATTATTTAAAGGAAGGCTTTTGGATAACAAGTATTCACATGTAATCTCTATAAGGACTTGGTTTATCTTAAATCATGCCATTACATGAATTTCCATGAATTAGAATTTTAGAGTTGAATGTCATATAAAGAAAAGGAAAATATTATTCTTTTTTAGGTCTACTTCTACTTGAAATAGCATGTCTTAAAAAATCTGGATATTACAAGTTGTTATTAAAGAACATAATTTAAAGTAACATGAAGTTAAAATAAACAGAACCAATATTAATATAATAAGCAGCCTATTACTGCATTTTCACTTAGCAATTCTGGGCACTGAAGATGATTTCAGAGCACAAGCTTTTTCCTGCCTGGGTGTCCCAGTACCTTTTGAGACTGAAGAGGTAAGGTAATCTAACCACTTCTGAAAAAGCATGTGATGGATTACTTTAGCAGAGGTAACCCATCGAGTCTTCCTTCAACTTTCCATCATTTCCTTTTTACTCCTGGGTACTTTGCACCCGCTGAGGCGTCCATGGCAACACCTCACCCATGGAGACAGCACAGGTCTGTTCACCTCAACTCTGATAACGCTGCTTCCCCAGGTGCCCCAGAGAGCCCATGCCCTGAAGCTCTGGAGGAGAGCTCCTCAGGCTTCTAGACTATTAGTGGTCACATCGTATACATTTGTAAGACGTTACTTTGCTTCATAAATTACAGTGAAGTAGAAGCAACAAACTTGGGAGTAAAGACATTGTAGGTAGTGGTCTCTGAAGGGAGAGACAGGGAGAAATAGTCCTTCCCAGTTTAATTGCCCCTGAGGGCTGTTTATAAAGATGACCATGATTAATCAAGAAAAGAAAAAATGGAATTATTTTCAGAAAACTGTTTAAGATAAAGAAAGGTATCAGACAATTTAGATTTTTTTTAGACAAAACTTTTTTTAATTTGTAAAAATAAAAGGTTTGGGATTAGCTAAAATACCTAAACAAGGTAGTATTTTATATGTTATGTAATCAAACTCAGTATTTTCTGTCTTCCTTTCAGACCACTGATTCAGCGTGATTTTTAAATGTTTTTTTCCCCAATATTTGTCTTGTGAAATAATTCCCACCTTTTTGAAAAAAAGATAGGAGGAGACAGTGGTTAATCTTGTCCTTTGTTTTATTCTTTGTTAGTAACATGAATGATTCAGATTCTGAAAGAAGAAAAAGAATGACAAGTGAGTAAACCTTTTGATTTTTTCAACTTTAAGGATTATCACATAAAAGCAACATTTTTTTGAAAGCTGGAAGTAATTACTTGAGGTAATTACTCATCTATAAATTACTTGAAGTAATTACTTGAGTAACAACCAAGGGTTGTTTTTTGTTTTTTGGGGGTTTTTTTTGGCTTGTTTTTAACTAGAATAATTCTAGTTAAGTACATTTTAGTTGAAGTGTCATCTGTGAGCTTTTCTAAATGACCTTTAACAGTATAACAGTTTGCATACTGATGTTAAAATAATATTGTCCTACAAGATGGTAGAGAGACAAGGTAGTTTGGGTTATGGTGGCAAGAATGTGAGTTTGCGGATCTGGCAGATGAATCTCATCTTGCTACCTTTTAGCTGCATGATCTGCAAGATACTTAACTCTGAGTTTCAAGGCCCTTAGCTATTATAAAATGGGGATATTTTGCAGCGATGTTGTAATGATGAGCAATAATATATATAAAATATCCTGTTATCATGCATGGGCCATAATACACATCCAGTAAGTGATAGCTCTAAAAAGAAATTATCTCTATGTATCAATTTCAGTTTACCATGTGACTTCACACTTGGTTTGGAAAAGAAAAAAATGGAAGTTAGTTCTTTCTACAGTGTGGATTCTAACAAGATCAAAGATGTTCAGACAGTAGGTCCAAAGTCCTTGATTCCTGTTGCCTTACTTAGGACTTGCATAGAGAGCTAATGTGTGTCATCGGGGTGGCCAATTTTGTGTGAATGAAATAAGGATGATGCTAACATTCCATGTTAGGTTAGGGAGTGAGATTGCTTCTTGAACTCAGGACATTATTATAGAAATAAAACCAAGTTTAGGGGTGCCTGGGTGGCTCAGTCTGTGAAGGGGCTGCCTTTGGCTCAGGTCATGATCCAGGGTCCTGGGATGGAGCCCTGCCTCGGACTCCTGGCTCAGTGGGAAGCCTGCTTCTCCCTCTCCCTCTGCTGCTCCCCCTGCTTGTGCTCTCTTGCTCTCTGTCTGTCAAATAAATAAATAGAATCTTTTTTTTTTTTTAATTTTTTTTTTTAAGATTTTATTTATTTGCG